TCCTATTTTTTCATTTCTAATTCCTGCATCATTGAGTCATATATATTGTTTGGACGGGTTAATTAAAGGCGCGCAAGAGCAATTGATAGTCAAACATCAAAGTTTTAATTTTTAACTGCTAAAATCAATTTAAAAGGCTGATTTTGGACAAGAGGAGTGTTATTGATGAGCAAGTTGATCCGTTGATTTTGATAGATAAGTTATATTACTCGAAACTTATTGCATTAATTTATCCTAAACTGTAGGGACAGTATGGGGATGGGCATGCGTTCTTCAAGAATCATGATTTGTACTCATTATTATAACAATAATTCAGTATATTTTTACAAGTGATGTATGTGACAGTAGAATATATGCAGCATTACTCCTACCCTGGAAGGGCAAAGAGACTGTTTTCGAAAGCTGTTACACTGTTAATTAAATTACGAGTTTAAAATTTAAATCGATTTACACTATAGTGATTTATGCTCAATGTCGGAAATAAGAAGTTCAATTAAATAATTCAGTATTTATATCAAATCAATAATTACATAACATATACTCAATCTTTTATACAATCATATGTCTCTGATAGCTTTGGTCAAGCTTCTCCAACTCCAAAAGTATTTTTTTTTCCTAAGTTGAAGTGTTTGACCAAACTTTTTTAACAAAAACGTACTTTTGTGTAGAAGCAAAAGCATTTTGGAAAAGCATAAAAAATTAGTTTCTCCCCTAAATCACTTTTTTGAAAAGCATTTTTAGGAAAAATACAAGCACTTTTTAAAAGATTGGCCAAATACAAATTGCTCCTCAGAAGTGCTTTTCATATTAATTGTGATGACCCGGAAGGTCATCTAGTGTTTCTCAATTCTGTGCTTTTAAGCCTTAAAAATCTCCTTTTTACCCTCCTCGATTTACCTGCGCAGTCGGAGCGTATTTCCGGAAAGCTTTTATGTTAAAAGTTGATGAAAATAAGAATTTTTGCCTTAAAAGTTGATTTTAGTTGATTTCGGTCAACTTTTTGGGTAAACGTATCCGGACCTGTATTTTGACGGTCTCGGTGGGCCCTTGATGAAAATATGGGACTTAGGCGTATGCTCGGAATCGAATTTCGAGTTCCCTAGCTCGAGTTATGATTTTTTTTTAAAAATTAAAAATATAAAAATCTAATGGTTTTAAAGAATTGATTGATGTTTGGCCTTGTTGATACCCGGACCGTATTTTGCTTCCGGAACCCAGTACAAGTCCAATATAATATTTATAACTTGTTTGTGAAATTTGGTGAGGAACGAAGTTGGTTTGACGTGATTCAGACGTCTGGTTGAGAAATTAGAACTTTTAAAGTTTTCTTGAAAATTTCAATTGATTTGATGCTAAATTTGTAGTTCTAGGTGCGAGCAAGTTCGTATGATGTTTTAAGACTTGTGTGCATGTTTGGTTTGGAGCCCCGAGGGTTCGAGTAAGCTTCAGATAGACTACAGAGTGATTTGAACTTGGAAAAGATTGCCGGTGCGTCTGATATTGTTGCAGGCCTCTGATCTCGCATGGGTTCGCATTTGCGAGCTTCTCATCGCAAATACGAAGAGAAGCTGAGCCAACAATGTTCGCATTTTGCGAAATATCCTTCGCATTCGCGAATGGAGTCTCGAAAGGGCAATGATCGCAAAATGCGATCACTGAGTCGCAATTGCGGAGATCCAGGCAGCAGATGTGTGAAGGACTTCGAATTGGCTATCGTCCCTTCGCATTTGCGGGCTTCGCATTTGCGAAGGCTAGGTCGCATTTGCGACATCTGCAGCTGGTAAAAGTGACATGGACGGGATTTTTCTCCCATTCTTCGAATTTTCAAAACTTTAAATAGAAGAGGCAATTTTCCAAAAAGCTTTTCTTCCCCAAATCCTAGGTAAGTGATTCTAAACTAGTTTCTTTCAACCCTTCACTTCATTTTACAAGATTCAACCTAGAATCTAAGATTTTCATGGTGGAATTGGGGATTTTTGGGTAGAAATTAGGGATTTCAAAATTTGGAAATTTAGACCTCAAATTGAGGTCGGATTTCAAAACTAATTATATATCTGGGCTCGGGGGTAAATGGGTAATCGGGTTGGTCTGAATTTCTGGAGTTGGACCAAGCGGGCCCGGCTGTTGACTTTTGTTGACTTTTTCAATAATGGCCTAAATTGAATTCTTTATGACCGTGGGTGATTTCTAAGGCTTATTTTGAATCGTTTCGCTGGTAATTTGCTAGATATTGTTGGTTCGGAGGCTAGTTTGAAAGGCAAAGCCGTGGTTGAGCTTTGAGTGATCCTTGGAGCGAGGTAAGTGTTGTGTCTAACCTTGACTTGAGGGAATTAGGAACCCTCGAACTATTTGCTATGTGATTCTCATGTGAGTGGCATATATGCAAGGTGACGAGTGCTTATACGCCGCCAAATTCTCCGATTTCCTTGATTTTTCGCTTTTCCTTAATTGTTCTCCTTCCCCTCTTAATTGTTATATGCTCTAAATACTTTCCATGTTTAACTGTTACGTGTTAATCAATATTTTCGTCTGTTAACCATGTTAGCTCTTTTCATAGTTCCCCTAATCCCTGTTATCTGCTTAACTTGACTTGTTTGCACCTTCTAATTGTAAATTGGGTTGGTCTTGTTATGTAGTATTATTTGTGTAGATTCTATATCGAACAAGGTTTTCTTTTCTTGGTTCAGTTTGGTATTTATTCATCATAAAAGCCTTGTGATTTAAATTGTTGATTTGACTGTGTATACTGAGTGTTTGGTAATGATATGGTAGGATCGGGCTGCATGCCGCATCAGGTGTAATACAGGTGGATTGATAAGGTGTAACAAGGGTGAATTCATATTGTACGCGGGATCGGGTTGCACGCCGCAACAGGTGAAATAAGGGTGGATTGATATGGTGGAATAAGGATGAATTGTGATATTGATATTGATATATGGCAGGATCGGGTTGCGCGCTGCAACAAATCTATATTATTTACTGTTATTGATATTGTAACGGTGGAATAAGAGAGGATTTTGCATTGTCTGGTAGGATCAGTTTGCGCGTCGCGACAACCTATAATTTCCATTTCCTCAGCTACATTGTTTCCCGGTATTATTATTTGACTGGTAAGGATTGGTAGATTATGAGCGACACTGGTTTATTTTCGAGGCTGTGGTTATCATTATCTGTTGGTTGTTTAAATTATGTTCAGTATTTCCATCATTCTGTCATTATTATATACTGCGTACAGGTTATAATGTAGGTGACCCGCCTTAGCCTTGTCACTACTTCGTCGAGATTAGGCTCGGCACTTACCAATACATGAGGTCGGTTGTACTGATTAGGGTTGTTCATTTGGATCGGATGTCCGAAATCCGAACCGATCCATTCAATTTCGGATTTCAGATTTCGGATTGGATCGGATTTCGGATTGTGTTTATTAAAATTCCGGATTTCGGATCGGATTGGTATATTTTAATCCGATCCGATTCGAAATCCAAATTTGTTAGGCAATGTATAAATACTACACTTTAATTTCTGATAGTCAGTACTTCCTTTACATCTTCCTCTAAGTTATTACCTTTACAATTGCTAGCTTTAGCTATATTAGCACCATAGTACTCTCATAGTTGCATAAACATAAATTTTTCTTAATGTATTGCCTCTTTTACAAAGAAAATATACATATTAGTCAACCTTGAGGCATAATAATACGATCCGAAATTCGATCCGATCCAAACTTTAAAATCTGATCAGGACCCGATATAATTCGGATCGGATTCGGATTGCATTTTCTAGAATTCGAAATCCGAATCCGAAATGTGCTAAATCCGATCCGATCCGTGCACAACCCTAGTACTGATACTACACTCTGCACACTATGCAGATTTTGGAGTCGATCCCATCGGCGATTATTAGAGTGCCTGGATTGGACATCAACGGAGACTTGAAGTACGACTGTTCAGCACCCGCAGCTCCTGGAGTCCCCATCATCTTTTCTTTTTAGTTGTATAACTTCATTCAGACATCTTTGTACTTATTTCAAACCTTTATATGTATTACTTTAGAAGTCCGTGCATTTGTGACACCAGGTTTAGGGAATTGTAATAGACGTTTGGTTGGTTTAGTTTCCGCATTTATACTTAGAATATATCTGTTATTTCAGTTCGTTATTAATGTCATCATTTAAACGATTAAAAGAAGCAAATTGTTCTAACTTTGGCTTGCCTAGCAAGTGAAATGTTAGGCGCTATCATGATTCCGATAGTGGGAATTCCGGATCACGATATTAATTAGCCAAACACAAATCGATTCTTACCAAAAATGTTTTTGAGAAAAATATATTTCAAAATAAGCTGCTTTTAGAAGTTTGCCAAACAGGCTATTAAATGGCTTGGTTTTATAAACCAATAAAGGAGATCTTTTTCTACTAATAGATCCCTCGGGAAAGACATTTTTAGGACCAATGAGTCAACGACATATACAACATCAACGTTCATACTCTATCTTCTAGCTCTTGCGAACAGTTCAATAAATAAGTTATGTTACTTCCTAGTTATATATGCTTCTTCTTCAACTGAGTTATACTAGTGTTTTCATAAGCTCTAAAATCTCTTATTCCCTGAAATTCTTGTTTCAGATTTTATTCATATTTTTAAATTCTAAATCAGAAGAAAGCTGTGATTTTATGGGAAGAGATATCAACCGGACTCCGGCATCGTTATTGTTAGCTTCTTAACTTTGTTACTATATTTTAATTTTAAGTTTTATGTACTAACAATGTAAATATTATTAAGACAATCTATTAAGAAAATATTTATTATAAACGTTGCCTGGTAACTTAATTAAGAAAATGATAATTAGCTTGTTATTATATGTTATTGTACTAATTCTATGTTACTATTTGTATAGGTAATATCGACAGAGCAGTAGTGAATCTTCCCGCCCTGGCGCCAAATATTAAAAATCCAAAAAGCGTCAAATATGACGTCAAAAAATAAAAGCGGAAATAGAAAATAAACATCTTAGGGTTTGAATTTCCTGCAAAAAAAGCCCTACAATACAAAAGAGGGCAAAGACAATATGCGCACAAGTAGGCACCAAAAATATTCTCATCTCGCAAAAGGAACCACTGTAGAAGTAACCTCCGACGAAGAAGGGTTTAAGGGAGTGTGGTTCGAAGCCACAGTGCTCGGTGCGTCTTCCCCCGGTTCGAAGAGTAAAGAGGTTTGGGTCGAATACAAAAGTATTGTTGCTGAAGAAAATGGTTCAGAACCGTTAAAGGAGGTTTTGCATGTGTCTTTTGTTAGGCCGGTGCCTCCGGTTGAAAAAATTGAGAAGTTTGAGCTGTACGACGTTGTAGATGCCTTTCATAAGGATGGTTGGTGGACTGGTGTCGTGACACGTGTTCTGGAAGATTCTAGATACCAAGTGACTTTCGATAACCCGCCTGACGAGCTTGAATTTGGGGTTTCTGAGTTGAGATTTCACCAGAAATGGGTCAAAAGGAAATGGGTCCGACCCGGCAAGCAGGTAATTTTCTCCAGTTCAGTATCTTTATGTTACTAGGGCTCAGCAGTTTCTTAGCTAAGGATGTATTTGGATGCTACAGGTACGAAGGAAAATGTTTTTGCATGTGTTTTTGGGGGAAATGTTTAACTTTCAGATATCATTTTCGGGTGTTGGGGGTATAAAAATTGGGTATTATGATAATATAGAGTATGATATTGTGTGTGTTCTAGTGTTCAATGAGAACTATGAGGTCTCATGTTTAAATCCGACATAGTAAAAAAAAAACTAAGTGAATGCCTTGGTGGGTTGAGTTACCTTAGAGTCACCTCGTACTTGGGAGGTAGCAAGTACTTAGTGGAATAGCTGAGGTGAGTTGCACAGAAGCTAGCCCAGACACCAGCAACGTCATAAAAAAATTTTTTTGAGCATTAAAGTCCTTTTCCCCTTTTTGGTGAAAAATATCTTCATTAGAGGAAAGATGCTTTCACATTTCAAGGGAATCAAACGTTGAGATATGATTTCATAGAGGAATACATTTTTCATCATACCAAAAATTCAAGTTACCAAAAACACCCTTTGTTTCATCTTCTATGCTGCGTTGTTTTAAATTCTACTTTTAAGGTTGTATTCTTCTTGTCTAAGGTTGTTATTCACTTCTATTCTTGATTTCTATAATTGTCCTCTTACCTTGTCATGTCTGATTGTCGAAAGAGAACAGGCTCATTGATGTTTAGTGTGGGAGAGAATGTGGAAGTATCATTTGATAGTGATGATCGCCGTGATGCTTGGTTTCCTTCAACTGTCCTTGAACATTGTGGAAATAGCTCTTTTTTGGTGGAGAGCTATCGGCGAGCCTCTGACAAGAAGGCGATTGTTGAGAAAGTAGTAGTTGATTCATTCCATATCCGGCCTATTCCACCGCGTATCGTAAACAAATTCAGCTTGCTGGAAAAAGTGGATGCCCTTTATGATTATGGCTGGTGGAGTGGTGTCATCACAAGGGAGCTTGATGATAGTAGGTATATTGTCTTTTTTAAGCACACAAACAAGGAGATGGAGTTGAACGACTCGGATTTGAGACCTCACATGGATTGGAAAGATGGGCAATGGTTTACTAACGCTCGGGTATGGTCCATTTGAATTCCTTTGGTTTTTAGGTCCTGTTGCTGCTTTTATTGAATCAGACTGCTATTATATTCTTTCTTTCCAAGTGGTCATAATGATGGGTAGTAGTTCTATTGGTAGCTTGTATAATCCATCTACTGTTGTAAATTGTAAATAGCAATGCCCCCCCCCCCCCCCCCCCCCCTAAAAAAAAAAAAACCCCAAAGAAACAAACCAACCCAATGTGAGTGAAATCTGTTTATTTAAGTTGAAATATGAAAGCAGTGAATGCAACTCTATTAGATGGATGACACTCGAACGAGATGCTCTTTTATTCCTAAGTTGTGAAAAGGTAATCTTTTCAATGTTGTTAGATAATGAGTTGGCATCTTGTGTCTATCGAGATATCGCCAGTATCAGGGTGTGGACATCAGTTGCTTTGTATTTGAGGAAGATATACATTTACCTTGATTTTACCTGTGAAAAGATGTATGTATAACAAAAAACACATACTTATTTTCTTTGACTGACCTTGGGTGTTACTCTAAAGCTCATTATGTGTTAACATTTGCTACATAAGTTCTGCCTTTCCTTTTCTAACTCGTTCTTAAGTTGGTGTTTCTTTTGACTTTCTGAATTGCATTTCCCATTGTTAATATGACTCTAGCAAAGAATTGCTGACTCGATAATGCTCTCAATCGATTGGATTTTGTACATTGTCTAAGCAAAGTACACGGTGCTTAATTAAGCAGTGAGGTTTATGTTGGCATTGTGATTCCAGATCTTTGCCGTACATTATAAATGTGGTAAAGTGCTGTTCTACAGGCCCTCCAGTAATACTTCACACTATTTTTTTATAAGGCGAATGTCTACTTCAGTATTGCTAAAGCTTACCAGAATATACTTTCAGGAAGTTTCAGTTCCTTCAGATTCTCAGACTAAGGGGAGCAATAACTGCAATGACGCTGGTATTTTACAAAAAGTTGTTCCACTTGGAAAATCAACCAATATGAATGATATCTCTGAGGAAAGAACTCGACATTCTGTTAAGTCTATAGAGGATCCTAATGAGAAACCTTCAACTGACTATATTTCACTGGAGAAGACACCGCAGAAGGCCCTTTCCAGTTGTAATGCTGCTTCTTTGCAGGCCCAAGAGCTTCCCAAAGAGGGAACTAAAACTCCAAAAGCATCACTTAAAGCATGCAAACTTAGTGCTAAGCCTTCTGAAACACCCTGTACAAAGAGTCCCGCTGATTATCCCAGCCCAAATTCTGAATATGCTGAAATGAAGATTTTAGCACCTGTAGCTGGAGATGACCAGCCTGGTAATCACTCTTGGAAGAAAAGAACTGTAAGTCATTTCTCACTGCCAATATTTCTTGCTTGTGTAACTTTTTTTTCGGGGGGGGGGGGGTTAAGATCAATTAAAATGCATGGTGTCAATAGCAGGAATCTGTTGCTCCTTATGCCACCTTTCTGGTTTGAGTTTATGGAAATTAATAAAGAATGGAATGGGAGGTGTGGCATGCTAGAATGACAAAGTAAAAGCTAGTTGTGCGCGATGTCATCGCTTGTAATATTATGTTAATTGAATGTCCGTTGTTTGTTGAAAAGTTTGTCTTAGAATTTACTTCAGCTTTGAAGTTAATTAATATGATGTTCTATAAGTAGCGTAAGAGTTGCTGAATGTTGCCTCAACCGACCAGTTTATGCGAATAGATCACCCTTTTTCTATTGGAAGCAAGGCTTGTGGGTGAGTCAAACCAGCTTGGGAGCTAATTAAGCCTGTCTTAGCTTATAACCGTTCTAGCTGGAGCTAACCCAGTTGACCAAATGAGCTAATCTGTGGTATATAAATGCTCAATACGCTAAACTTATGTATTTTTTGCTTTCTCATTCTTATATTTACTATATTAATATGCTGGTTTAATCCCGATACAGTCTTTGTGCTGGAGATTTATAATACCACTGTTACCTTTCCCAAAAAAATATGCTGGTTTAACTATAAATTTCCACTGCATTTGATTTTTTTAATATGCGAGTTTAAAGGAGTTTACTATTCTTCCATTAACTATCTAAAGTAATAAATCAGTGACCAGCCTAAAAGCCAACCGTGCTCATCATCTTCTTAAAATCCACCTAATAAGTTATCTTCTGCTTTCTGTATCCTTTTTTTTCCTTCATTGATGAAAGTTGAGCTGCTTCGTTTTTGTTTCTCATACTTAATTATCTTCAAATCTTTTTCTCGATCTCTTCTCCTATCCTCCATCCATTTGAAGGAAACTTAAAGAACGGCAGTGTCCATCTCAATCTGTCTAGCGGAAGTGGTCTTCTGGGAGGTGATTGATATGAATTTACTCTATTCTCTCAGCTGAGGATCTACTCCAATGAATGTGGTCTGAGTTGAAGCTATTGTTTCATCTTTCCCATATTTGTCGTTTTGTTCATCCTTTACAAGAATATTGTTGGCAAATGAGTAATTGCAATGAATTCTTCTGGTTCTTTTTGCTGATTCCGAGATTGCTCCCTTTTCAGAAGTTATCTCTTATGTTCTTGGCTTAGTTATAACGTGCTCTCTTCAAACATCTCGCCCTGTGCTACTTATTCATTTTGGGGGAGCCAAAGCGCTTCGTCTGCCAAGGTGTGGATTTCAAAGTTTTGACTTGGCTTGGCTTGTTTACCCCTAATTGGGTGGTGAAAGGTCTAGGAAAATTCTCCATTTGCAGCATGCTCTTTCTTCCTGCTTTAAATGTGTCAATCAGAGTTCATGATTAGTTCATTCATCTAACTTATCCAAAAAGGAAAATAAATAAAATGCTCAGTGCCCATCCAAATATATGCAGAGGAAGAACTGCCAGGAACTTGGTCAAGAAAAGGGTGGGACACTCGAGAAGTTGCAAGGTGCAAAAGGTATTATTTGTTTGCATGGTAGGTTATCTGTACTTGCTGAAATCTAGGTACAATTTAAGATCTGTTTAACAGGTAGCAAGGGAATTGCAATAGAAAATGCTGCTGAAATTACTCAAAAACGCTCTAAACGCAAAGAAACTGATGTTCCTATCGTCATGGGGCTGGAGTGTACTAAAGTCAGGAGCTCTGGGACTAAAAGATCTCGTCAGATTGATAATGAATCTTTGGAGCCTATTGGGGATCTGAAGCAGATTGATGCTGCCATAGACTGTAGACAGGTAAACAGAGATTCAAGGGCTAAAATAATTTCACTCCACAAGCTATTTTGATACTTGCTGCATGCTTTGAGAGTTCTTACTTTATGACTAATACCATGTTGTTTATACTCTATTCTTTTCGGCTACTTGTAAGACTTTTGTTAAAAGTCCAGCTCCTTAAATTGAAGACCTCTTGATTCTGGTTTTACTGGCTGGTTAACCACTTTGTAGTTCTGATTTTTCCTTTTCTGTAGGAGACCAAACAATCAGGTGATGGAGACGGCAGTCAGAAGAGAAAAAGGGGAAGGCCAGCGAAGAAACCAATTTCAACCCCAACAGGTAATCATAAATTCCTTGGGCCTAGAATTTGAGTGTGGAAATTATTTTCAGTTTTCTCCTGAAGGTGATCTGCTCTGTTTTCTTGTAGTTATGGGACCAAATGGAGATCATTCAAAAGATGAGAGCTCATGTCCTGTCGAGCTAGCAATTATGGTAAATGGAGATGGTAAGGAGCAACTACAGGTTCAAATGGGGCACACCCGAAAAAGAGGGAGGACAAGGAAGATGCCCGCAACAAAATTGTCAAGTGAGAAAACAGGTCAGTCTTTGTTCCAGCAGCATGAGAAGCATTATATAAAACGGGGAAAGCGACAGACAGAAAGTGTAAATATTGAATCTCAAGCTCAAGGTGAGTAATGGCTTCTGTTATAGTAATTGCAATTTTGGGGGATTATGTTGGCAAGTGATGCATGGTTTTGAGCACTTTTTTGGATCTCTTGAATTTTGAATGCTTTATGCGATTGTTTAAGAGAACAGCTTGTATGATGCAACAAAGAGGAACAGCTCCTCTTTGTTGAGCCTCTCAGTCCTTTTCTCATTTTCAAAACTTCCTTTTGGCCTTCTGTAGGTTCTGTTGACACTTCTGGAGTGAAAACTGTTGAATCAAACAGGATTGCAAGCGATGGTGAGGAAGTTCTTGCTGAATACAACAAATTAGATGATCAACCACTCGCAAAGTGGTTTGAAGAAATGCAGTCTCCAACTTCTGTTGATGGATCAAGTAAGCTACTAAGCTTTCATTAGCCGCTTCCTATTCTGGCTGTTGTTTGATTATAATTTTTCTCCTCCAGGAGTTGCACCTGCATGTGATGCGAAGCAATGTGCTGAGATAAGGGAGAAACAAGACATGCCCATCCAAACTCCTGTCGACGGGACCCCAACAACCCAGACTGAAACACAGAGCTTGCCTTTTATAAAGGATTCAGATGTTTGGTCACTGTTTGAAACCATGGCTATTTTCCAGAAATTTCCTCAGAAGCCACATTTCCGTCCATTGGAACTCTGCAAAGAGAGTAAACGTGAGGGACTAGCTATAGGTTGTATGGTAACTTTTTCAAGCATTGCAGAGAAGACTTATAGATTGCACTTTGACGACCCCAGAAGCTCCATTGAAGAAAAACTGGAGACTCTCAGCGACTTGGAAAAGCATGGATTTGAAGTGCAGCCTGTAAGAGATCATTTAACTTTCTTGTTGGCGATGAAAGATAAGAAGGAAAAGCTTGAAGCACGGGCTGCAGATATCGATAATCAGATTATCGTCCATAATACAGACAAAGAAAAAATTGAACGAGAGATTGAAGAGAACAACAAACAAATAGCAGAATTACAGCATAAAAATTCTGTGGCTATTTCAAGGAAGGAGGTTATGGAGCGTGAAATTGATGGTTTGAGGTCTCAGTTGGAGGATATTCAAGCAGACCTGAAGAAATGCACATAATGAATTTGATCTGTAGCTGCTACCAATGTCGCCGTTGTGGTTAATCTTGAAAAATGGTTTGCTGTTATTGCATGAACAATATTATAGTCACTAGTTTCGTAGTTGGGTTGGTGTTGTCAACAATTTGGGGTTCACGTCGAATGTTGTATATGTCCTGTCGATAACTTATTGTGTCTGAAGTAAGACATGTTTTTGAATTGTTATAGTTAGCCCCAGACAACACTAATTGAGCCTTTAAGGTTCAAAATGAATTTGGAAACTGATCTTAACCATGGGTTTCCTCCGCCCGGAGGAAATAGTTATGTGATGAATCTGACGTTGTAGTTGATTGTGCCTTTGTTAATTTATTATTCTCTTGTTAGTCCTTAAAGTTAATATCTATTTTGTTAGTATATATTCTTGAGATTAATCTAAGTAGGGGTGTCATGGCTGTTGAATGTGAATAACGAAATGTTGTGTTTGTACCTGTAAGGGTTTGTGCATTTGCAGAAAATTTTTACGCGTAAATAAGGTGATATGTCAAGTCGTTGGCACTGTATTTTACAGTATAGTTTCCTTGATAAGTTTCGGATAAGTGAAGTAACATAGAAAAAATATCAATACTTGAAGATACGTGATTGAAGAAGTTATTAACTATAGGTTAAAAGAGGTTATGACAGTCATTTGATTGTGAATCCTCACTTCAGTCAAATGTGTGGAACATGTGGAATATAAGCAGCATGTTAGTTCTAACGTGCTTTTTTACCCGCTATTTAAATTTGGATAAGTTGAACTTTTAAGGTTTGTCATTAAACCCATTATATTCCTAACTACTAGTAAATTTTTATTGATGAATTTATACTTTGCATCCCGATACTGGCAAGCTGCATTTGCCCCTTCTTCTAACTAAGGAGTAGTAAGTATTATTTAGTGACAATATTTAAAAAATTGCATGACAATATCAGTGTTATGATAGTTGTTGGGTTCGGTTGTTTTTCAAAGTGTGTTTCTTGCTGTGAATATGCGCATTTAGTTTGTTCATTTACTCTTAACTTGCTTGTTTAAAAGGTTCTTGAAAGGGATCAAAATGAGGTTCCTCAACCGGTCCTTGGTTGTCATTTACTAGTTTGTGAATTGGGTGGTATTTGGTACTGGAATAGATACCTGAGCTGTCAACCATCTTATTAATTAACTCACTTAGCCGCAATATTTATCCTAACAGTACAGAGTAAGGTTGTGCAGTTTGACATATACTTGTAGTTCAATTATCTTACATATTTACTTGTGTAAAAGAAAGTTTATACAATGATCTTGATACTCTTTATCAAATTTGATTTAATTTTCCTAGCATACAGCAGCTGTAAGTATTTGATCCCCTGCTTTCTACTCTAATTTGGTGAAAGGCTTTAGTTATCATCAATTTGGTTTGTCTCTTTCTTCGTGGCTCGCAATTAAACGAGACGTCCTTTCTTCTTTACACATTATTATGACAATAAATAAGATAGCTAAAGATTTCAACTGCATATCGCACTACTCATTTATACTGCTACACCTACTGTGGCCAACTTCTCTTAAATGCTATAACTACTTTCCAAATAGAGTAACATGTCCTCTATTGCAAGTTGAAATAATCAAAGATGTCAACCTATATTTTTAAATGGCTAACATCGTGCAAGAATGGCTACGTTACTTGATAGAAAACGATAGTTGCTCTATTTAAAAAAAAAAAATGAAGTATCTTTCTAGGTCCCTTAAAAAACACTAGAAATGATTTCTTCCCGTTTGACGGACAAAAAGTTACCCGATATTTGTATTGTGGGAGGTAGCAGGTGCGGTAAAATTGTCGAGGTACACACAAACTGATCTGAACACCACCGTTATATGAAAAAAATAAAAATACAAGTACCAAATGGTTTCCAGTTTCTGAACGCTTTTTTCTTTGTTTTGTGTTAATTTTCTTTCTTTATCAAACACTAGACAGAGTAACATGATGGTACTAATTTAGGTAGAAAAAGAGGGTGAAGATTTTTATGGGTGCATCGCAATTGGCGTACATCATTGAAGAGAAGTAAATTGGAAGAGCAGCGGGGACCAACGTCCAGATTCATCATACAGCTAATAGCTACTATTGTACTCCCTCCGTTCATTTTTACTCTGGTTCACTATTGACTTTGCACTCTTTAAGAAATAATAAATAAAATGCATAATTTATCATGATACCCATTTTAATTGGTGTATAGTCTTAATGGATTTGAAAAATGATTTGGAATGCGTAACTAATGCTAAGGGCAAAACAGGAAAAATAAATTATTTTTCTCTTGATATGCGAAAAGTGACAAGTAAAAATAAATTTTATTTATGGAATACTTGACAAGTAAAAGTGAACGGAGGGAGTACTATTTAATTCCGCGAAGTGGTTGACTGGGCATCCAATTCAAAATAGTTAGACAAGACTTTTGGTCTTAAATACGTCGTGATATTTTTATATAACTATATAAGAGTATGTCATTAAAGATAAAATGAATTTTTAAAGAAAGGTATAACTCTTTTTGAAATAGAGTAGAAAATACCAGTAATTAGCAACACATATAGCACTATAGCAGCAGTAGTAAGAGTAATGTTTCAACTACCTATCTGTTTGCGGACCCTTCATTAATACATAAGCCTTTTGCGATCATCCAACTGTGTACTTTCTTACATGAGTATTCATTACTAATACATAGCCTCTTGAAATCATCCATCTATGTACTTTTTACATACTTCCTCCGGTCTAAAATAAGTGATTTTTTGGATGTTTTCACACATATTAAGAAATTCACCTTTTGCATTAATTAGCAATGGAATTGACCACGTTAACCTTTACTATCTCACATAAACACACTCCTAATACATATTCCAACACTATTTACTCCAAGGACAATGTAGGAAAAAAATAATTAATCCATTCTTGAAATCTGGAAAAATCACTTATTTTGGACCACAAAAAAATCACTTATTTTGGACCGGAGAGAGTATTATATTAGTCAAGTCAAGAAAGAAAGATAGCAGTATATATATTTAAGTGTTGGCTGTCTCATCCTTCTCCACCACCTACCTATGCCAAAGTCAATTAATTGAAATAGTCGGTGCAAGTCAGGTCACGCCACTACGGACGAATTTTCAATTGAACTCAATATTTTCATTATGTGTGTGCCAAAATACAATTAAAACATAAGATCACACTCATTTTAAAATTACAGACTAAATTCGCCTCTATACTTCTTTACGCTCCATCAGATTACTTACCACTAATGTTAATGTGTAAATGAACCACTAGAGAAGTGGTAAGATTGACGGGATTCCTTCGTACAGAATTCTCGAATTCGAGTCCTGGGAATAGAGAAATTTATGGTGGGAGCGAGATGTTAACGAACAAGAAGTATTGCTATTTATGTTGGGACCATGCGGTTTAGACATAGTATTTTGTTTTATTCTTTATGGAATAATTGTTTATTTAATTTATTCAATTCAATAAAGTACTATTTTAAATAGATCATTTGTTATATGTGTGTCCTTTTAGTTATGTAGTAGACAATTTAGTATATGGAATCTTAGCTCATACACAGAAGATTAAATTGTTGGTTCTCATAGTTAATAAACTATGTTCACAATCAAAGATATTATTGGACAAAATATCTTGATGATTGTAGCATAAGATTATAGTATAGTTTATCTTGATTATGGGAGTGATTTTACTCCGACTTCTAGTGCTAATATACTCAGTGTATATTGAACGGACCAAGTAGAGAAAAGATGTTTTTGTACTGAATATATAAAACATTTTCTCTAAATTCATTAAATGAGCTTATATTCCTAATCTTGATATAATTATTATGATCAATGTAATTTGTTTATTGTTTTGATTTATCAAAAGGTACGACTCTATTCAGAGTTAGTGTATGACTAATAGATTAGACAATAACGAATAACATTTGTGAATAATAATTAGTTGATAGAATCCATGACTCGATTTTGAGTTTGACGATACCCCTTAATGTAAGCTTATAGGTTTTCATGTGAAAACCCGGCCGGTGGATTTTGTATCACTAACATGAAATAGTTTAAACGGAATTGTAAAGGATTTAATGAGTTGATTAAATTAAATTTTCAGTGATTTAATTTAATTAACTGGTATTTGACATCTTAACATGGGGAGTTAAAATAAGTGTTATTGAATTTTCGAAATTCATATTGAGGAGTTCAATTACAGTTTTTAGTGGAATAAATTGCAATTAATTATAGTAAGAATTAATTCATGCTAATTTCGAATTAATGCTATAATTGGTAGCCTCTTATTATTTCTGTGGTCCCTACTATACCTAGTAAAAACCTGGACAAGACTTGGGTAAAAAGTGACTTGGGAGAGAAGTCATCTAGTAGAGCTGGAGTAGGATTCTACTTGTAAAGCAGAATCCTACACGTTTTTGGACCTGAATTTCGTCCAAAAATAAGTCTATTAAAGGAAGACTAATTTCACCCAATAACCACCTTTTAGAGTTGTTGTTCTTGCCCACCCAAAAACAAAATCGTCCAAGGTTTTTACTAGGTATGTAGCAGAAGACTGCAGCCGTGGATTCTTCCGGTTTGGAAGATTTGTGCAATGATTTCAAGAGGTTAGTGCTTCTAATCTTGTGATTATAGCATTGTCTAGTTTACATGTATTTGATGCTTGGATTGTATGCTTGCTTCCGCTGCGCATGTTCTAACAATTGGTATCAGACGCCATCTTACATCTAACTAGATAATGTAATACAACATGAATAGAGTAATAATAAAATGTGTTGTTTATTGATACATGTTTGGTATGATTATTCTATGTCAAAAACGTGATTGTATTTATTAGTATCTTAATTCTAAAATTATGAATTAATATACACATGCATAAACAGTGGTGTTATATTAAATAACAGTCTGTTTACTTACGTTTTTGATGAATAGCAATTTGTTTTTAATAAAAACGTGACTGTTTTTGAATGCTATTAATTCTGTAATTATGGGTTAATATACATATGCATAAATAGTGAATTAATACTATTAATCTGTTTTAGTTGCGTTTTGTCCGTAATCACAGTGTTATATTAATAAAAACTTGACTGTTTTGTATGATATTAGTTCTGTAATTTTGGATTAATATACAGAATTATGAACAGTGGCGTTTTTGAAAAGTGAAAAACATATTGTTTTTTTTACAATTCTGTCTGAACACGTTTTTATTAAATAAAAATAAAAATATTATTTTGAGTTCTGAAATCATGTTTTAACATACGTCAGTATATTGTGTTATTTGAACAAGTCAAAATAATAAAAAACCTAAAAAACGCCAAAAACAGAATTCTACAAA